TGCAAACACATGCTTGCAAGCTAGTATTCACAAACACAAGACAGCAGGCAACAATGAGCGACAACAGGAAAACGAAGACTCAGGTCAAAAAATACCGACGAATATCGTAGCAAGAACAGGTGGATGGAGATCGACATTGAGCAACGGGGCTCATTAGAGGAAGCCAACCAAAACAAAACAGATGCAGAGACCTTTCTTCAACAAACTCAGGATCAAAGCCAAAGAAGACTGATATTATCCTATGTTTCTTTCAAATTCTGCTGGGGCCCGTCGGGGACACATTGGCCAGGGCAATGCCTTATGAAATGCTCGTCCCAAGATGTGAAGGTATTTGCAGCGTGTGAATTGCCATTTTATAAGGGCGCTTTGTGCGCCTTCAGTCTTGTCCTGTGGCAGCTGCAGGATGGTGATGGATAGTGGTCATCTACATACTGTCATGTCCTCATTTCCAGAGATCTTTGTTGAAGGGCCTTTGTCACGGAGCATGCTTGTGAGTCACTCCGCCATGAGTCGCTACAAGCTGGTTTGTTTTTGTTTGCCGTGCACATTGTGCTTCCTTTCCTTGTGTACTTGCAAAGAGGTAGGAGACTAAAAGCAGAGGCATGAAGAAGGCCCGGAAACGCTGCATGCATGATGCTTTCCTCTTACATACTTTTACTGGGGCGTCTCTGGCTTGCTACAAGTTGGTTTGTTTCTGGTGGCTGTGCATGTAATCTTTCCTTTCGTTGTTCGTATTTGTGAAAGAGCGGGGAACCTCAAGCAAGAAGATGACAAAGGCGCGGCAAGACTTCATCCATAAAAGCAGACAGAGAAAGAATGCCACTGAAGATGAAAGCAACCTGCCACACATGCTTGCAAGCAGATGAAAGCAACCTGCCACACATGCTTGCAAGCTAGTCTTCACAACCACAAGGCAGCTGGCAACAATGAGCGACAACCGGAAAACGAAGAAGCAGATCAAAACATACGAAAACATAACCGATGAATATTGTAACAAGAACCGCTGGATGGAGATCGACATTGAGCAACGGCGCGCATTACAGGAAGCCAACCAAAACAAAACAGATGCAGAGACCTTTCTTCAACAAACTCAGGATCAAAGCCAAAGAAAACTGATATTATCCTATGTCTTCTTTCAAACTCTGCTGGGGCCCGTCGGGGACGCCTTATGAAATGCTCGTCCCAAGATGCGAAGGTATTTGCAGCGTGTGAATTGCCATTTTATAAGGGCGCTTTGTGCGCCTTCAGTCTTGTCCTGTGGCAGCTGTAGGATGGTGATGGAGAGTAATCATCTACATATATACTGTCATTTCCTCATTTCCAGAGATCTTTGTTGAAGGGCCTTTGGCACGGAGCATGCTTGTGAGTCACCCCGCCATGGGTCGCAACAAGCCTGTTTGCCTTGCACCTTGTGCTTCCTTTCGTTGTGAGCTTTAAAGACCTAGGGAACTAAAGCCAAGCAGAGGCGTAAAGAAGGCGCGGAAACGCTGCATGCATGGCGCGCATGAGGAAACAAGCCCTCCTGGGATGGAAGCAACCGCGCCACAAATGTGCGCAATCTTATCATCACAAAAAAAACGCAAGGAAAGGCTGGGCAACAACAGAAAAATCACACACGCAGGTCAAGAACTGACCGAACATGAAAATGAGAAGCAAGTAACAGAAATTGCATTGACAGCATTAAAAAATGGAAAAACAAGCCAAAATCAACAGAATGCCAACACCTCTTGTGAACCAGCACAGCATTACCAGCACAGCGTTAAAAGTCGAAAGACAGATGGTACATGATTTCTTTTCTTCCCTGTTTTCTTGTGGAGCTCATTCTGCGCGCAATGGCCAAGGGCACACCTCTGAGTTGCGAGTCCCAGGGTGTGCTGCGTGTAGCGGCATGTGAGTCTTCATTTATGGCTGTGTTTTTTGCGCCTTCGGTCTCGGCCTGTGGCAGATGTTGGATGCTGATGGATGGTGCCTGTTGATGGTGCTCTACATGGTGTTGTCTGATATTCTTGCTGACAGGTATATGGCACGGAGACAGCAAGTCCGCTGGAAAGGATGCTTTACTCTTACATACTTTTACTGGGACTTCTCTGGCTTGCTACAAGTTGGTTTGTTTCTGGTGGCTGTGCATGTTATCTTTCCTTTCGTTGTTTGTATTTGGGAAAGAGCGGGGAATCTCAAGCAAGAAGATGACAAAGGCGCGGAAAGACTTCATCCATAAAAGCAGACAGAGAAAGAATGCCACTGAAGATGAAAGCAACCTGCCACACATGCTTGCAAGCAGATGAAAGCAACCTGCCACACATGCTTGCAAGCTAGTCTTCACAAACACAAGGCAGGCAGCAGGCGACAATGAGCGACAACAGGAAAACGAAGAATCAGGTCAACAAAAAACCGATGAATATTGTAGCAGGAACCGCTGGATGGAGATCGCCATTGAGCAACTGCGCACATGCAGATGCAGAGACCTCAACAAAGCCAAAGAAAGCTGATACTATCCTATTTGTTTCTTTCAATTTCTGCTGGGGGTCCGTCGGGGACGCCTTATGAAATGCTCGTCCCAAGATGCGAAGGTATTTGCAGCATGTGAATTGCCATTCTATAAGGGCGCTTTGTGCGCCCTCAGTTTTGTCCTGTGGCAGCTGTAGGATTGTGGTGGATAGTGGTCATTTACATTCTGTCATTTCCTCATTTCCAGAGATCTTTGTTGACGGGCCTGTGGCACGGAGCATGCTTGTGAGTCACCCCGCCATGGGTCGCAACAAGCCTGTTTGCCTTGCACCTTGTGCTTCCTTTCGTTGTATAGTTGAGTGAGCTAGGAAACTACATTCAAGCAGAGGCGTGAAGAAGGCGCGGAAACGCTGCATGCATGGCAGTGCATGAGGAAACAAGCCCTCCTGGGATGGAAGCAACCGCGCCGCAAATGTGCGCAATCTTGTCTTCACAAGAAGAACGCAAGGATAGTCTGGGCAACAACAGGAAAAATCATACACACAAGAACTGACGGAAAATGAAAATGAGCAGCCACAAACATACATTGCAATGGGCAGCATGAAAAAATAAAAACAAGCCAAAATCAACAGAATGCCAAAAATCTCTTATGAACGAGCACAGCATTATAAAAGTCAAAGACACGTGTTGTCTGATTTCTTTTCTTCCTTGTTTCCTTGTGGAGCTCATTCTGCACGCAATGGCCACGGGCAGCCCTCTGAGATGCGAGTCCCAGGGTGTGCTGCGTGTAGCGGCGTGCGAATCTTCATTTTTTAGCCGTGTTTTGTTCGCCTTCGGGCTCGGCCTGTGGCAGATGTTGGATGCTGATGGACTGTTTTGATTGTGGTGCTCTACATGGTGTTGTCTGGTATTCTTGATGACAGGTGTGTGGCCCGGAGAACGCAAGTCCGCTGAAAAGGATGCTTTACTTTTACATACTTTTACTGGGACTTCTCTGGCTTGCTACAAGTTGGTTTGTTTCTGGTGGCTGTGCATGTTATCTTTCCCTTCGTTTTTTGTATTTGGGAAAGAGCGGGGAATCTCAAGCAAGAAGGTGACAAAGGCGCGGAAAGACTTCATCCATATAAGCAGACAAAGAAAGAATGCCACTGAAGATGAAAGCAACCGGCCACACATGCTGCAAGCTAGTCTTCACAAACACAGAACAGCAGGGAAAACAAAGAATCTGGTCAAAAAATACTGATGAATATTGTAGCAAGAACCGCTGGTGATCGTCATTGCATGAGAGGAAGCCAAACAAAATAGGCCCGATACCGAATACAGAAACCTTTCTTCAACAAACGCAGCTTCAAAGCCAAAGAAAGCTGATATTATCCTATGTGCTCATTCAATTTTTTGCTGGGGATCCGTCGGGGAACCATCGGCCAGGGCAATGCCTTATGAAATGCTCGTCCCAAGATGTGAATGTGTCTTGCAGCGTGTGAATTGCCATTTTATAAGGGCGCTTTGTGCGCCTTCAATCTCACCCTGTGGCAGCTGCAGGATGGTGATGGATGGTGGTCATCAAAGTTTTTTTTGAAGGGCATTTGGCACGGAGCATGCTTGTGAGTCACCCCGCCATGGGTCGCCACAAGCTGGTTTGTTTCTGTCTTCCGTGCACGTTGTGCTGTCTTTCGTTTTGCACTTTAAAGAGCTGCGAAACTAAAGCAGAGGCGTGAAGAAAGTAAGGTGCCGTGGTTCCGCCTGGTCTCTCCTCACGGCGTTGCTTGCCAACCCGAAAGCACGCTTAATTAAATAAATCCAAAAAGCTCCAAACCTATCCTGAATAAGCTCTAAACCAGCCCTGAGTAGATCATGAACAAACCCTGAACCAACCCCGCATAAACCCCAAGCAGACCCTAAATAAACATTAACTAACCCTAACCCGCTCCCCCCCCGCTTTGTGTCATGCTGGAATCCACAACAACAGATTTGATGGCCGCAAGCTCAAACTTTATAGTTTCTCATAAAATGACAGTCCGCAGCTCCATTACAAGCATTCCGAACCATCATTCTATAAGGCAATGTTCTCCAAATGTTATTAAATGACAACTAGAGTCTATACATGACAAGTTTAAAAGGAACCATGATTTTATAACCCCAAAAAAATATACAAATATATTTTTTTATGCTGACCCCGCCCCCCATGTTTTCTCCTGAGGAGATACCGGGGTTTGCCATTTTATAGCCCCCAGAAAAAGGGGTGGTTTATAAAATGACAGTTCCCAGTAGGGATCTTCCCAGACCCGTTATTGCAAAACACACCATTTTATAAGCAATTTCACGTTTGATTTTAACCCTGGGGGCGGCACTCAATAAGAAATGAGAGGCGCCACCCGGGTGGCGCCATTTAATAAGGAATATTAAAAGGGGGATCCCTGATCTAACTCCGGCCCTTTACCCTTACCGTAAGAACCCCTCAGTGTGGACACAATGTTTGGGGAATCTTTCCAAATTCGGCGAATCGTCTCCAGTTTGGGCTGTAGATGCAGCTTTCCAGGTCTGTCTGCTCGAGCCTCGCATGGTAGCCATGGATGGAGTTGCCCTTAGATTCGTGTGCAAAGCCATGCTGAACAATGCTGTTGGGATCTGGTCGGCCGCCGGCCCCATACAACAATCCAAATTGGGCGAATAGACTGAACATCCTTTAGGAACGCTGGCAAGATCTGGCAAGTACATCCCCCATGTATAGCCCGCTAGATGCTTTGCGGCCGACTTTATAGAGAATAGCCTGGTATAAACTGGAATGGCCACATGTCTGGAGTCTACAAAGTGGAAAGCCAACATGTTTTGTCTATAAAGTCAAAATCCAACGTTTGTATAAAGTCGCCTGGCCGCGTAAAAACATAAAACTCGATGCAGGTTTTTGAGGGTACTTGTGAACATGTCCCATGACTATAAAGTGAGATGCCGAACATCCAGATAGTAATACTTGTGCAGAACAGTGGCACTATAATGTGGATTTCCGGCTAAACAACGATCGTTGTAGTAGCGATGATTTTCTTAATCGCGACGATGGCAGCATCGACATGATTGTCTATAAAGTTGAGGGGCCACGTTCAAACCTTGGGGGAATATCATCGATCTCATCGATGGGGAACCCAAAAGACTTCGAATGACTTCGAAACCGAACGAAACCGACAGCCAGACAAATATCTATATCGAAGTCGTTAACAGAATCTATGGTAAAACAAAATCTATGTTGGACTGGCCACTTTATACCCCCTCCCCCAACAGAGAATGCCTCTAACACACTTTCCTTTGAAAGGGGTCCTTGGGGTGAAAGGGGTCCTGGTCGCGCCGCGCGCGCGCGCGCGCGCCAAAATGGCTCCAATTTTGAGACCTTTTTGGCGCGCGCGGCGCGCCCAGGACCCCATTCACCCTGAGGAATTTTTCAAGGGAAATCTTCTTCTCTATAAAGTGGCCAGTCCAGGTAAACCCCCTGAAAAAACAGAATCTATGTTGGACTGGCCACTTTATACCCCCTCCCCCAACAGAGAATGCCTCTATAAAGTGGCCAGTCCATGTAAAACCACTGAAAAAAAAACAGAATCTATGTTGGACTGGCCACTTTATACCCCCTCCCCCAACAGAGAATGCCTCTATAAAGTGGCCAGTCCAGGTAAAACCCCTGAAAAAACACATTTTTACCTGGAATGGCCACTTTATACCCCCTCCCCCAACAGAATGCCTCTATAAAGTGGCCAGTCCAAGTAAAACCCCTGAAAAAACAGAATCTATGTTGGACTGGCCACTTTATACCCCCTCCCCCAACAGAGAATGCCTCTTTAAAGTTGCCAGTCCAGGTAAAACCCCTGAAAAAACACATTTTTACCTGGAATGGCCACTTTATACCCCCTCCCCCAACAGAGAATGCCTCTATAAAGTGGCCAGTCCAGGTAAAACCCCTGAAAAAACAGAATCTATGTTGGACTGGCCACTTTATACCCCCTCCCCCAACAGAGAATGCCTCTATAAAGTGGCCAGTCCAAGTAAACCCCTGAAAAAACAGAATCTATGTTGGACTGGCCACTTTATACCCCCTCCCCCAACAGAGAATGCCTCTATAAAGTGGCCAGTCCAAGTAAAACCCCTGAAAAAACACATTTTTATCTGGAATGGCCACTTTATACCCCAGCCAGTGGGCTCCAGGACTTTGACCCGGAAACGGAAGGACTGACAACAAGGTAAAGGGGGAAAACTACAACGGAGAGGTACAACGGGAAGGCTACCACAAGAAAATGGGACATGTCACGTTTATATACGTTTATTGTTTTCAATGTGTCATATAGATTGGCGATGGTTGGTATATTGAATATGTTGTAGATGTATTTTGGAACATATGTATACCTATGATTCACACATCAATATAAATATATATAAATCATAAACACATGCCAAACCAAAAACTTTTAGCTGAGTATTGTATTCCCAATCTGTTGGCAAATGTCCAGCCGATTCACCATGCGTGACCCAACAAGATTCAAACTATGGATTGTTTACTTTTGAAAATATTTTTTTACTGGTTCTTGCAAACAATTTTTATAGAGGATGGGCATGGACCGGCCAGTTTATACAGAGGGTGGGGCTGCCAGAAATGACGTGATCAAGCCACTTTATAGAGCTGAACTTTCTTGCAAACCATTTTATAGAGGATGGGCATGTGGCCGTGGTTTTGGTCCATAGATGTCCATAGATTTTTAGGATGATTTTGGGAGATTGTCGTCATAGATATATGTAGATTCACCCAGTATTTTTTTTCAAAAGTAAACAATCCATAGTTTGAATCTTGTTGGGTCACGCATGGTGAATCGGCTGGACATTTGCCAACAGATTGGGAATACAATACTCAGCTAAAAGTTTTTGGTTTGGCATGTGCTTATGATTTATATATATTTATATTGATGTGTGAATCATAGGTATACATATGTTCCAAAATACATCTACAACATATTCAATATACCAATCATCGCCAATCTATATGACACATTGAAAACAATAAACGTATATAAACGTGACATGTCTCATTTTCTTGTGGTAGCCTTCCCGTTGTACCTCTCCGTTGTAGTTTTCCCCCTTTACCTTGTTGTCAGTCCTTCCGTTTTCGGGTCAAAGTCCTGGAGCCCACTGGCTGGGGTATAAAGTGGCCATTCCAGGTAAAAATGTGTTTTTTCAGGGGTTTTACTTGGACTGGCCACTTTATAGAGGCATTCTCTGTTGGGGGAGGGGGTATAAAGTGGCCAGTCCAACATAGATTCTGTTTTTTCAGTGGTTTTACTTGGACTGGCTACTTTATAGAGGCATTCTCTGTTGGGGGACGGGGTATAAAGTTGCCATTCCAGGTAAAAATGTGTTTTTTCAGGGGTTTTACCTGGACTGGCCACTTTATAGAGGCATTCTCTGTTGGGGGAGGGGGTATAAAGTGGCCATTCCAGGTAAAAATGTGTTTTTTCAGGTGTTTTACCTGGACTGGCAACTTTAAAGAGGCATTCTCTGTTGGGGGAGGGGGTATAAAGTGGCCAGTCCAACATAGATTCTGTTTTTTCAGATGTTTTACTTGGACTGGCCACTTTATAGAGGCATTCTCTGTTGGGGGAGGGGGTATAAAGTGGCATTCCAGGTAAAAATGTGTTTTTTCAGGGGTTGTACCTGGACTGGCCACTTTATAGAGGCATTCTCTGTTGGGGGAGGGGGTATAAAGTGGCCAGTCCAACATAGATTCTGTTTTTTCAGATGTTTTACTTGGACTGGCCACTTTATAGAGGCATTCTCTGTTGGGGGATGGGGTATAAAGTGGCATTCCAGGTAAAAATGTGTTTTTTCAGGGGTTGTACCTGGACTGGCCACTTTATAGAGGCATTCTCTGTTGGGGGAGGGGGTATAAAGTGGCCAGTCCAACATAGATTCTGTTTTTTCAGTGGTTTTACTTGGGCTGGCCACTTTATAGAGGCATTCTCTGTTGGGGGAGGGTGTATAAAGTTGGCATTCCAGGTAAAAATGTGTTTTTTCAGGGGTTTTACCTGGACTGGCCACTTTATAGAGGCATTCTCTGTTGGGGGAGGGGGTATAAAGTGGCCATTCCAGGTAAAAATGTGTTTTTTCAGGGGTTTTACCTGGACTGGCCACTTTATAGAGAAGAAGATTTCCCTTGAAAGGGGTCCTCAGGGTGAATGGGGTCCTGGGCAGCTCTATAAAGTGATTTGGGTGATGTATCTCATGACTCTATAAAATGCTCTGCCGCAATTTTCTTTCTATAAAGTGCCCTGGATGCAGCACAAATTCTTCTTCTTAAAGGGCAAGTTTCACTCTATAAAGTGCTTTGCCATGTATACAGCCCCAACAGAAAGATATTGGCCCGAAATCATTGGGGAGACATATTTCTATAAAGTGGATGGTGTGACATATTATGGCCATTCTTTGAAGGGAACCAACGGTCTATAAAATGCATTGCCGCATATATTGAGTCGTTTCCTTGTGGGGAACCAGCCGGGTATAAACTGGAAAGCCAACGTTGCTATAAAGTCATCTTCCAGGTCCAAGGGCATGTTTCTCGCGCAAAACACGGCTTTATCCCCCATTGTCGGTATATAAAGTGGCGACCGGAAACCCACTTTATAAGCGCAAAGGATGTCCACTTTATAGTGAGCTATACATGGGGGATGCAAGTACATATATAATTGTGCGGCTGGGCGACAAGGTACAAATACCAACCACCGCCATGGAAAGCACGATCAAGTTCTTCCTCTCTGCATATCCAAGCCAAATTCGATCAAATTTGTGCTGGACAGTGTGCTGTGCCAAGTTCAATTGCTCTCTGTATAGTACTACAGTAGTGGCAAGTCCTTTTCTGTGGACTTTGAGTCCACCTGACAAGCCCCAGTACGACCCACCAACCTGTGTCCTGTCTGACTTGTCAGCGAGAGAGCCCCAAAAAACTCCTACCCGACGGCGAGTGAAGCTGCCGGAAGGGGCAAGATCGTTTCAGATCTTTCGTTCCGTTAATAATGTTAATAGATGCTAATAGTTGATGCTGTCAGGATCAAAGAGAGATACTGCAGACTGCTACACCAGTTGGCAAGGATGGGCAAGGTGTTCTTGCAGGTCCATCAGGGTATAAGCCCGACCTCCGAGTAGAAAGCATGCAACAGCCACGTAAATTCCAACGCCCCAGAGATTGATGACGGTTGGCACCCCGTCCTGCCAGGCTACTAGCGAGACCACGTGCCATGAGAATCATCCCCAACTTGTCAGGTGCAAAGCCCAGTTTCTGCAGCCTCAGGTGCTGCTTCAGCCGCTTCGGTGGACCTCCCATCCCTTACCCCTCATATCAAGACGTTACGCAGTTATGCCAAGACTCTCCATGAAGGACACGCTAAGCAGAGAAAGATCAATCCTGGCTTTGCACATGCAGACCCGATCCAAATAGACACAAATCGATGGCCATACAATCGGAAAGTCTGGATGATGTGACATGGTAGCAATCCGACGCCAAGGCCGGGAGGATATGTACACA